TGGAATGCCCTTCCGACAAGCTGGTACATAACCCAGCTCTTCGGGAGGGGTCCCTCCCGGCGAGCTGGTCTTTATACCAGCTCGTCGGAAGGAAACCCTTCCGACAAGCTGGATCATGTACAGCCAGCTCGTCGGAAGGGATTCCTTCCGACAAGCTGGCATGTACACAGGCTCGCCGGGAGGGGTTCCTCCCGGCGGTGTGACCTCGGCCTCTCTAGGCCGAGGGGGTTTAAAAAAAAAAAAAAAACAGCGGGGCCGTCCCATAGGACCCATGCCTGGGTCCTATGGGACAGCCCAGGTCCTAAACGCATATAAATATGCGTTTAGGACCCATATTGGGCCTGCAGGCAGGCACGCCAACCTGCAGGGTATACCCCCTGCAGGCGAGTGGCGTGCCTGCCTGCACGCCATTCTGCAATGGCGTGCAGATTGGCGTGCGCCATGGGGGTTGGCGTGCGCTTATCAACCCCCAGCCAAGAGTAATCCTCTCAGCTGTTGAGAGGTTAAACTCTCAGCCGTTGAGAGGTTACACTCTCAGCGGCTGAGAGGATTACTTTTGGCCGTCAAGAGTGTATAATCTTGGCGGCTGAGAGGATTCATCTCAGACGTTGAGAGTGTAACCTCTCATAGGCCAAGAGGGTTTCCCTCAGCCACTGAGAGTGCAACCTCTCAACAGCTGGGAGGAATTCTCCCGGCCGTCAAGATTGCAGCCTTTCAATGGCCGGGAGGAATTCTTGCGGCCGTTCTTTTTCTTTTTTTTTTCAGCACCGACTCCAAACTCCCATTGGGTTTTGGAGTATCGAATCCCAAAAACCCCTGAGGGGGTTCAAAAAAATAAAAATAATAAGTATTATTTTTTTCGGGAGTTGACTCCCAAACGAATCAAAGGGTTTGAAGGTCTGACTCCCAAAAAACGGGGGAAAAAATGGGGGGTCCGACATCTGGAGGACCGTCTGCAGACAGTCCTCAGGAAGTCCCCAAAATTTGGGAGTCAGAACTCCAAATTTTGGGAGTTGTTTAACTAAGTCCCTATTGATATTGTGTTTGATTTGTTTTTTGCAATGATCATTATCCCAAAGAAGATAGTTCACATCAATGCCTCCTATCTCTCCTGTTTTTGATTCATCTGTCTGGTAAGACTTCACATTATATGTTTATGACAGATCAGTGTATCTTGGTCTCATTGGTTGAGTGGAGAAATATTGCACATACAGTTGTGTTCAGCATTACAACTGTACACAAATTGAGGGGGGTCTATATGGTCAAGGCCAAAAAAGCAGTTTATTTATTTATTTTTTTGGTTGGTTTGGAGGGATTAGACATCAAATTGGACCCCCAAGGCCAAACATTTATGGTGTAATCCCATTTGTAAGGGATTTTATGCCAGACAGTGCCATACTTATAGTTTGGGGATGACATCCTACCTCATGTATATGCATGCTTGAGGTTGGGTGAAAATGACCAACCTGAAAAAAGAAGAATAAAAAACGGCTGGGCCAAATCACTCATTACTTTAGATTTGGAATCTAGATGGTCTGTGGACTCCAAAAAATGAAGTCTTTATGATACCAACCCTCTATAAGGGTCTAATCAAATGCAAGGTTCTTATCACCCTTCAAAAAACTTGGAGTTCCACATTCCTGTGGCATGTTATGGTGTTGGTAAATTCAATACTGAAACAGAGGCAAGACATGTATTTGGTATTTGTGTGTATTTTCCCTTTTCTGAGATGAATACCTGGTATCTGTATCTCCTTGGTTGGTGAGAAAATCCACTGTCTTGGATTTGTCTTTTCCACGCAAAAAAATCCACTGTCTTGGATTTGTCTTTTCCACACAAAAAAAATGTCTTTTTTTGTTGATATGGCCAGACATCTTAATTGCATGTTGAAGAAATTTTTGGTGGGATCATCCCTCTGAGACAATACACAATAATTCTGTCTCACTTTCCACAGACAATATGTATGTATTTTCTCAGGAAAATGAGACAGAGAAGTATTGGTCTTTTTGGGTATTCAAATTCTGCAACGATACAAATAAATGCTGGGTATTGTCTTGTCTCATCTCTGTTCTAGCATTGGTAAAGTGGATTCATTGAATGATTTTATGTATCAATCATGTATCTTTTTTTCTGAATTTAGTGAAACATGTATTTGGTTCATGTACCTGGGATGTATGGGCATGAACAATTGGTCTGAATGAACTGACAAAGCACAAGACTGTTTCATGACTCAAGTCAGTTGCCAATTATGGTGTTCAAAGATAAATATACATGCATATCTTGTCAGTAATCAAGTCTTGTTTGGTTGGAAACCTCCATATCACATAATCAGCTTGTCAATATTCTGTTCAAACAAGATTTGATCATTTACGAAATATGCATGCATATTTGTTTGCATATCTAACCTTGAACACCATAAATACAACATCCTACAACATCTGCATATATTTGTAGATTGGTAATTTTTTCGTAACTTTCCCCTCTTCATCCCGCTATATATAACTGATCTGTATTTGTTCATTTAGTCCTATTAATTCCTGATCAAAAATAAGAAGAAAAATAAGTGAACAGTGGCTACCTCAAAAAGTGATATATCCAAGACTGTGGGGAAGAACCATCAATCTTTCACTCTTCACCAACTGACTTATAAGTAAAGATTCAAATTTGAAACCATATAAGATGCTTTTGGGATCACTTTTACCTCTCACGGTTGAGCAATTCACCTCCATCTAGCATTTGATACAATAGAAGTGTGGCTCCAATTTTGACTCAATAACAAAAAACCATTTCCAATCCTACATATAGCTAATTTTTGGGGAATGTTTTTCAATGAAATTTAAATTGAAAGACTTGAAGAAATTTGTCCTAGCAAAGAAGGATCAACCACTGGGTTTGCGGGAAGATGCGATGAGTGCAACACATGAATTGGAGAAGCTTTTACCCTTGGAAAACACCAATCATGAGGTCTTTCAATTGGTTCTTTTTTTGGATTCTGCAAGTTTCTAATGATTTCTTGATGATTTTTGTTGGTTATCAGAATGAGATTCAATCAGACAGAATATTCCAGAACTTGATAGATGATGCAAGTATTACTAGAACACCCACTGACAGATCTCATGATCAGAAAGCTTCTTTCCCAGTTTTGACAGAGGAAAATTTGACCAACAAGTTCATGATAGCCTCAAGCTCACAATCATTACCAGATTATTCCAACAAATTAGGTGAGTGCTTACTTGATGAATCTAACATCAAATCACCATCATGTTTTAAGTGTGCAAAGGAAATACCCAATTGATTGATCCTTATGTTTCTTTTTGAATTAGAATGTGTGATTGATGTTCCTGCTGAAAGAGTAGATAAACCTATCAGCCAAAGCATAAATCATGCATCTAGTGAAAGGAATGCTATTTCAATCAATAGATTTGAAATTGAGTTTAGTCAAAACAGGGAAGATATGATCAACAGAGCTTGTTGTAAAGAGCTTTTCAAGATGTGTTCCTTGCCTTGTTTCTTGACCTCTTTCCTTATAATTTTGTTGTTCATCCTGTTTTATAAATTTTGAACAATGAAAATGAATGGTTGTGGATAGGAATGAAAGAGGAAAGAAAATCTTGTTTTGGCATTGGGAGATAGTTTTTCTACAAAATCTGGCTGATTAGTCTCCTTTCATCATGGTTTCATTGAATATTTGAATTGATCAAAACCCTGATCTCCTCCATGCATGTTTGTCTAAATCTCAACACATCTGTGGGCAGCATTTCTGCCTTTGTAGCAGTACCATCTTGGAGACTTGATTATAAAGTCCTGGAAGCTCATTCCAGAAGTAGGAAAAAAATCCAAACTTGAATTCCAGAGTTTACCTACTGACAAACACTCTCTGTCTATTCTATGTGCTAATTCTGGGAGATACCCAAGGAAGAAGCTTTCTGAGTTATGGAAAAAAACGGTAGAGATGGACTAGATCTCACGTGTTGTATAGCCGTTGAGAAGAGAGTGATGATGGAAGGATTTGATAGATTGAGCCCCAATGGGAATAGTCAAGCTCGACAGTTGTGATTCTCTTGTTCTTCATGAGTGAGTGGAGCACTGGAGACTGGAGTCGGAGTCGGAGTGGGTGGCGGGTGGTGGCTGGTGGGGTGGTGGTGATCGAAAAAGAGGTCAACAGGGGTTTGAGCACTGGCCATCTCTCCACTGACTCCTTCCACTTCCCCCAACAGTAACACTCCTATCCTCTCATCTCCTAGTAACATTGACCATACTCATACTTCCTTCAACAAGAGAGAGAGAACCTTAGAAACAAAATGACAAACAATAACAATCTCGGAATCCACTCTAGTCTCAACCTGTAAGCATCCTCTCCATACCATTATTCACAAAGAAAAGAACACTTACAGCTCGAATTTTGAATGGAAACAAAAAAACAGGTATATCTCCGACCAAGCGTATGTGCTCACATCAGCTACCGACAACCAGAGTCAATCATTGACGATCAATCGGAAAGACAGGTAAAAAAAACCCTTCTCATTTTGTAACCGTATTCTATCCAGTTGATAGATACAAAAAAAAACTGACTAATTATGTTTTTTTTGTTGGATAAATGTAGTCAGATCTCGCTCTCGTCGCCAGGTCCGCCAGAGAAATTCGACCGATTGGTTAATAATGTGGCCGGTCTTTTAGGGATCATACGGTTGATGAAGTCGGACTATTTGGTCCTGATCCAATCGGCCCGCAAGGCAGGTTTCCATCGGTCTATCCGTTTCCAAGAGGAAGGATCCCTCAAAAAAGAAACCCCCTTTTTTCCGCTAACTTTTGATTCTTTTTTTTTTGATGGTTTTTTTGTTTTGTTTATTTGAAAACAGGTGACGAATGTATTCAAGACGGCAGTATACACGCCGAGCAAGTTTGCAGTGTATCCGATCTCGCTGGAGCCGAACCTCAGCATCCTAGAGAACAGCGACGAACGATATCTGCTCTCGGTCCTCAAGGCCCATCTCGACCATGCGCTTGACAAAACCTTCTTCACGTATCTCTCCAAGACTCATCCCAACGATCCCGAGCCTTGGAATCTCACCAACTCACTCCAACGACAAGGCTCGATCACCAAACAAAATAAGCAGGCTGATGGAGCGGTCTCTGATGAGCAGCAGGAGCAGCCGCCGTGGAAGACTTCTGATGATCGCTTCTTTTGGAATAAGTTCATTCAGACTAGGTTTATTGAACTCGCTTCTCAGCCGAATGGCAATCAGGTTAGAGCTCTTTTTCCTTCCTTTGTATCATGTCTTCAAAGATAGAACATCCTGTCCTAATTAATCATTCTGTTTTTGCTTCATGCACAGGCTAGCAAGTTCATTTTACCGGTGATTTTTGGATGTTAGCTTTTCCTCCTCACCCTCTTTTCTTACAAAATGAGAGAGACAAAAATTGAAAGCCCTGATCTGACGAAAAGCAACCTGTCCAACCCCCCGCCCCACTAGTCTTAGAATTCAAATCAGCCGTGATCAAAGGGAAACGATTCACATTTGGGATAGTATCCCGAAGATCGCGATACCGAGCAGGGACGCGGTACTTCACACGAGGGATCAATTCCGAAGGGGATGTTTCGAACTTCAATGAGACCGAGATGATCATGACCACGTTCCCTCCCAACTACAATACTCAAGCTAATGGTCCAACGGATCCTGGTAATGGGAGAAGCTTCGTTAAGGCTGGCTTCGTTCAAACTCGTGGCTCGGTACCCCTCTTTTGGACTGAGATTAATAACTTGAGGTATCGTCCGGATTTAAAAATCATCGATCTACCCGAATCAGTCAGTCTATCATCTTCTTTCTCATCATATTGCCTTTCTTTTGAAGATTCGTCTCAATTGATGATTATTACTCTTTTTTTTTTCTGATGATAATGATGATGATTATAGTTGGAAGCTATGAAGGCACATTTCGACCAACAAGTCTCGATCTATGGTGATCAATATTTGTTCAATTTGGTGAACTCTAGTGGCTATGAAAAAGCGGTGAAAGACGGCTATGAAAGAGCAGTCAAAGAGTTAAATAATCCGAGGTACTCTCTCTCTTTCTCTCTCTTTAGACCAGTGCATATGTACTTACTGACGATTGACCCACCAACACACACACATATATATGTATATATAGAGTTCATTACACCTATTTCGATTTCCATCAAGAATGTAAAGGCCTCAGATTCGATCGAGTGCAGATCTTGATCGATCAATTGCACGATCAATTGGTCGACCAAGCGTATTTCTTTCAAGAGTTCTCGGCGGGTCCTAGCTCTAACCCGGCTTCAAAAGTGCAGAAATCTGTTGTTCGAACTAATTGCATGGATTGGTTAGTTCTTTTCTTTATTCAAACTCATTTGAAAAAAAGAAGGATGGCTGATTTGTGGTTTTTTTATGATGTCGAAATGTTTTTGATCCAGTCTTGATAGAACTAATGTTCTCCAGTCTGCTCTGGCTAAATGGGTTTTGACTTTTCAATTGAAACAAGCTGGGATACTGGAAGAAAATGAGAGCTTAGATAAATATCCTGATTTCATGTTCTTATTTCGTAATCGTAAGTTTCTCCTTACCATTTACGAATTTCTTTTTTTAATGAAGATTTGTCTTTTGTAGTATGGGCGGACAATGCGGATGGAGTATCGAAATCGTATTCAGGAACGCCAGCCTTGAAGACGGACTTCACACGACTAGGCGTCCGAACCAAGAAGGGAGCGTTCGATGACGGGGTCAACAGCTTGATGCGATATGTCAAGAATAACTTCATGGACGGACCTCGCCAAGATTCCTATGATCTGTTCACCGGTGCTTGGCGTCCTCCTGTCTCGGACGACCCTCAAGCTACTCAACCACTCCATGATCAGCATCTCTTTAAGGGCCCTTATGATCACCATCTTATTCAGGCTGTATGTTTTTTTACAGCTTTCTGTTCCTGTGTAAACTCAAATTCAGTTAGTTTTTGCTCATCCTCTCTGACTTCAATCGTGTCTTTCGCATAGATCGTGCTCGGTTTCGTGATTTTTTTGCTGATTTTTATATCTGCAACGTTTACCCAAAGTATGTATACTGGTTACCATTGACCCTCTTCCTCCTTTTCCCTTGCTTGATTTTCACCTACAATTTGGCTCAAAAGAATGATGATACTGATTCATCTTTCTTCGTCTCCAAAATAAACCAACAAAAAGAACGATCACTAAAATTAGCGATAATCTCACTAATAATTTTAAGTTTAATCACCCGATATATCTTCCAACATGGGATGGAATTTGTGAACCAACCGCGGCTGAAGGGCTCAACCACTAATGCGACCAGACATCGGATCCTGTCATACAATGGCCCGAGTTCCCGGATCTTCCAGTCTTCTCAACATGGAAGAACGAAGATCAACTTCGATCTGTTTGATCACTTCGTCTCTCTTCTCTCTACTAATAACCATCATCATCTTAATCCTCCTCCGCCCCATAGTAGTTCTACGGCCGCTCCTCCTCTCAGCTCCTCCATCAGCGGTCCTAATCAATCTCATGTTCTTGATGAGGATAAAAAGAAACGATTGGATTGATCTTTTGATCATTTGTTTTTTTTACTCTTTTCGATTGTATGATTACCTTCTTCATTATCTTAATTTATCATCCATCTTTGTATATGCCATGATTGAGTGATCCTATTCTCCATTCACTCTGGTCCTTTTTTCTTTGTGTCAGATAATAATGCTCTTCGAGATACGTTTGTTTCTTTGGTGATCATTTGTTTTTGCTTTATATTTGTCTGATATTTATCATCATAGATTGCAGCCAGTTTTTCCGTTATTTTTGTGGCACAAAATATGCATTTTTTCTTTTAATGGCATTTTAAGTAGAGAGAGATGTGTAGAAACTGGATGGAAGGGGACGGGAGGACAGATAAATGTGTGGTCAATTTAGAGTGGGCCGGGGCAAGAAGTGGATGAACGAGACAGGCTACACATGTGGCACATAATTGTGGTCTGAGATTGTAGTGATGTGGTATATAAGGGCAAGTTGAATGGCCACCAAAACAGACACAAAATGCACAGGGAAGTTGGGGAAAAAACAGGCAAGCAAAACAAAAAGAATAGCATTGAGAGATGGTTCAAAAATCAAAATCTCAGTTGAGGAAGATTGACAGCAATAGGCTGGGAAAGTTTGTTGGGAGTTAACTTTGTTTGATTGGGTTGATCCACCAAGCACTCACGGTTAGTGGAAACCAAAGGGCTCTGACACCATTGTTAATTGAAATACCTGGTCAACCTGCTGTGAAGCTTGTTTGAGACTGCTTTATAAATGTTAACTTTTGCTTGAGTTTGTTCAGAAAGCAGTTGGATCATGAAACCATTCACTTATAAGTTACAATACAAGGGTGTGTTTTTCATTGGTGTTGTTTGTTAGATGAGTGATTTAAACATATGCATTACCTCAACCTACATGTAATTGGGCAAAAACTATGTAAAAGAATGGTAACACAGCACGAGAATGGTCAAGCAAATGATAATAGTTGACATGCAGCAAGCTCTAGTCAAGCCTCACTGTAACTGAGGTCAGTGTGTTGTCATAATTTGGTGGTACCGTCTGGAGGTGTCAACAAGGTGTACCAGAGCAGTAATGTAGGATGAAAGTCTCCGTTTCTAACTGGAGTTCAGGGCTGAGTATGGTGTGGGTTCTTACATCTCATCTGCCACCAGTTTCTCAACTTTTCCTTGCAGTAGGACCATTCACATCTCAGCTTTGAGGCAAAGTTCATGGCATCTATCATTGAAATTTTACAAATTTGTCAAAAATCTTTGAGTGCTTCAAAACTTATGAATCATGAAATTTGACAAAATTCATGAATAATTTGTCTATAAATTTTCTAAAAGTTAACTTGAACTTCAGACGTGAACTGGAGAAAACAACATTGAAAACACATGTCTTGGGGATTGAGCTTGAAATTTACAAGAGCAGGTAGCCTTGTAAATAATTCAATATCACTGAATATTATGCAAGAGTTCATGAAGCAAGGAGGGACTTACTTATTAAGTTTACATGTGAATAGCATTACAATATAGCCAATTATAAGGAATTATTAACAATAATAAATCAGAAGAATTCATGTAACAAAATGGTTGCTACAATTTACAAGGAAAGAGAATTTGAAAGACAAATGTTTTGAGGGTGAGAAATTTGATCCAGTCAGAATAAACATGCAAATGTAATCAATTGAAACAGGTCTTCTGGCTTGAAAACACATTCTACTTTGTAAATAACCAAACTGAATCTTCATGAGCTAATTTAGTAGGGGCCACAGTGACTTGTCATTTTGTACCAACCATACAGTGAGCCATGAGGCTAAAAAATTCCGACTAGGGGAATGGGATGTATGATTAACATTTGAGAAGATTCAAGGTTAAACCATTTTCAAACAAAAACAACAGGTCCCCCATCTAAAAAAGTGTTTCTCTTATTATGGTCAGCAACAGATACTTTGAGGATTACAAAAGTAGAGCTAGGGAAAGTAGCTAGGATTTGACAACATGAGCATATTGTTCACCAATTCAACCGGGAAGGATTCCGGACCATCCTTTGAAATCAAAGGTTTCTTGTTTTGTTCTGCCCAATATTGGACAATTTTCCAGGCTTTATGGTACCATAATTCAGTCCGATATCTTTCGCCGTAATCAGTGGCAGGCTCATCTTCAAGTCGCAGCATTTGAGAAATCTGAGTGACCCATGGATTTTCCCCAAGTAAGTCTCTGTTTGGCAATTCGAGTTGTAACCAGAAATCTCGGACGAAAACTAAGATCTCTTCGACTGCCTTTTGAGTTAATTTTTCTCCAACATGTTGTTTGAATAACGACAAGTGAAAGATCGTTAAGAATGTGACGATTTTGGTCATGTTGGATACATATTTCGAAACGGCTGCTACCTTCCTGGGAAGTGGTGCTATGTCGCTGGTAACACTGGCTCCGTTGTGAATGTTGTTTAGTCTGGCTTTCATTCTGCGCTCGAAATCAAGCATGTCATCGATGAAAGTTGGGTATCGATCCAGTGCAAGTTTTTCATCTGATAGGTTCAAGACAAGCTCACTCAGTAATCTGGTTTTAGGGCCATTTCGATAATTTCTCCGAAAAATGTATCGCTGCTTGTTAAAGATCTTCTTGATATTGCTTAGTTCACGGGGCGTCGGTCGAACCCAAAAAAAACCATCAGTCTCTTGAAATTCAAATGTCCTAAAAAGGTACTCTAGTTTACGATCCTGATAAGAAAGGCCGGTCTTGTGATTCCCCATTATTCCATCTGTACCACGAGCTTTCAAGAAATCCCAGTCATAAACTTTAAACATTGGCGGAAGCGGTTCGGTTACTTGTTTTCCCCGACCAATGTCGTCTTCTTTCAATTGCTTACCGCTCTCTAATATCTCTTCAGGGTAAGTTTCAAGCCTCTCTAGTCCCCCTGGCCCACTCTCGCGAAGTTTGCTTGCTTGAGCCTCGATCGCAACCTGGACCAAATCTTGCTTGTTATTTGGTCTCTTTTTGGGCCTATCTGAGACTAGAACTGAACTTGTCGCTCGTTTGCGGGAGCCGGACGGGTTTAGGCCGAGGGATATGGTCTCTTGAAGAAATCCGGGGATCCTGAATGCTGCAGGTCTCATTTGTTCCCTCTCTTCAGGGTAAGTTTCAAGCCTCTCTAGTCCCCCTGTCCCACTCTGACGAAGTTTACTTGCTTGAGCCTCGATAGAAACCTGGACCAAGTCTTGCTTGTTATTCGGTCTCTTTCTGGGCCTATCTGAGACTAGAACTGAACTTGTCGCTCGTTTGCGGGAGCCAGACGGGTTTAGGCCGAGGGATATGGTCTCTTGAAGAAATCCGGGGATCCTGGATGCTGCAGGTCTCATTTGTTCCCAGGAAGGAATACTACTTGATTTTGGAACTTTCGTATTGTACAGATTCGGTCCCCACAGAAAGGCAGGCCCGGGGGAAAGCTCCACTCCTGGACTCGGTCCGTTCAAGTCGGGTAATTCATTGCCATCATTTGCTATGATAATCGTCTTCTCTCCAGGGGAAGTTGGCAGGGTTAGAGAGGCTGAGCCTATCAGCAACAATATCAAGAAAGATACGATGAACGGTGTGCGCATTGTTCCCCACCGATGTCGAACGGAAATCGAGAGGAAAATGCTGGTCTACTTCCTGGGTACCAGAGTAGCTGGATTGGTTGTTGGGAGTAACAATCTTCCCCCTCTTTGGCGATACTGATGAAGAGAGTCGGGGGGCTTTACTTATTCGAATCAAGACGCGTGCTAAAGAATGAGCAAGATTCTCATAACAATTCAATGTCTGACTCCTACCCAGTGATACGTCCGAAATGATACTTAATTAGCCGGAATACCGTTGAATTGATTGTCCATTTGTTTCATGCGATTATCCAGGTGTTTTCGGAAATCTGATTGAGGTTTCGTCGCAAAACAGTCGTTGTGGAATGGCGAGGGCTATTCTGGTCTATGAAAGTTTTAATTGCTTAGCTGACAATCAACTTTCCTCAGATGAGTTTCTCTTTATGCATCCGCTGGAGGAGTTCAAGACTGATAAATCAAGAAAGATTCCTACTTAGTTTGCAGTCCATTGTTGTCACTGACAATTTCATCGGATCAAGGTCTCAATGCCACCGGTACCAACAGCCAATGGTCACAATTTTTGAGGTTTCTCGTGCTTTCTGCCAGCAAAAAAAATGATGATCTCAGATTGGAAGATGGACAGCCACTTGACAGAAACAATGGAACCCTTTAATCAGTCTAGAGGGCAAACCAATGGACTGCAAATTATACTTCCTGGTGAAACTGTAGAAAATGAGTTCCAATAGCGGGGTTCATGATAGGATTTTGTCAGGAAGAAAAGCAAGCTACTCAGTATTTGGGAGCGCTCAAACCTTGGCTTGATTTTTGGAAAAAATTAAGCTTAATATTTAACCGATTGAGGAAAGATTTTGTGAAGTTTAAGCCTTAATTTGTGCTCAGGAACCCTTAAAGCTTCCTGAGCTCAGGAAGCCTTAGAGGTTCCTGAGTTGGGATTCTGAGCTTAAATTAAGCCTTAAATTAAGCTCAGGTTTTCAGGATCCAGGAAAAAGTTAAGCCAGGTTCAGGAAGCAAAAAGCTTATTGTGAACCCCACTAATTAATGATTCTGAAAAGCCAGATAGAAACAAGTTTTGTATAAAACATTTTGTATATTTTTGCTTCATTTTTGACTGTTTTGGTATTTTTCAATCATTCTTCAAAGTAACTCAAAAAAAGTCAAGAAAAGTGAACAACAGCTGTTTTTAAGCAGGTTTGGAATGTGGCATCCACCAGCCAACACCCCAGCACTGAAATCAAATTTAATGGCAATCTCAGTCCATTTCCTTCTTCACAACGCTGCCACAGATATGATACGCTGTGTGTATCATGGAGAATTCTGCAAAGCTGCATGGCCAAAAACCAAATTTGTTGAATCTCCTTGCAAATAAAAGCAGATTGGTCAGATAGTTTTTTTTTATTGGGGCTCAGATACATAGTGATACATGGCAGATACGGGCAGATACCGTATCTGTGGCAGCGTTGTTCTGCACTCTAAACTTTGGATCATTATTCTTTTTCAACATTTATAATCATTCTTTTCATGTGTGACTGTGTTGGTCTTGATTTTTTGAGCTAATTTGAAAAATGATTGAAAAACAAAAAAAAAGTCAAAAATGAATCAAACTTTTTAGAATCATTCTTCAGCACTCATTTACAGTTTCACCAGGAAGTGTAAATTACAGTCCATTGGTTTGCCCTCTAGACTCCAATTAAATGTTTACATTGTTTCTATCATCTGTACAGTTGCAGGCAGCAAAAACCAACCCTGCCTTACCCACAAAATCCAAAATTGAAATGTGTGGCCTATGCCTGGGGGGGCATATGCCCCAATACATAATTTTATCCCAATTTTGAACTCCTACAGATGTGTAGAGTTCAAAATTATGACTGCTAAGCTTTTACCCAGCGGTTCTTTTTATTTTATTTGTCTGACATACATGTATTTGGACATGCCTCCCAAAAGCCAAACTCAAACCCATAACTATAGGTTTAAGTGAGGTTTATTCATGGTCTTATACCTTTGGGAGGTGCCTAAAGTACCTGTAGCAATAGCATCTAGTTTGAATGCTGAATCAATGCTGCAAGGAAGGTTTTTTTCATTCTGTTGGCTGAAATGGGCTACAATTTACAAACCCCTGCAAATACAAAAAAGGCCAGTAAATTTGGACAACTTCCAAATACAGGGTTGGTTTTTGCAATCCGCATCTGTAATCAAGAAAAGAAACTGCTTCAAGATTTGGGTTTTCCATAGCTTTCCTTACAGACATGATAGATCTGCTGAAGTGCTTTGATTGATAATTTCAGTTGAACGGTAATTCTTGCAGTAGCTGTATTCATCATTCATACAGTTGCCAACAGCATAAACCAACTCTGCCCTGCCTGCAAAATTTGAAATTGGCATGCATGGCCCATCCCCAGGGGGGCATATACCATGATACCTAATGTTATTGTGGTTTTGTTCTCATAAAGACATGTAGATTTCAACATTTTAACCGCTAAGTGCATGTATTTGGACATGCCTAACAAAAGTCAAACCAAGTTCCATAACTATGAGGTTACACCATGCCAATTCATGGTGTTATACATCTCAGACTTCCCTATCATGCCTGCATATGTGTTGGTTAATGCTCTGAAGCATGTATCTAACATTTTGAAGGCTAAAAAAAGCCTAAAAGTCCAAAAAAATTCTTAAAAATCCAGGGTTGGTTTATGCCATCCACAACTGTAGTTGGTTTTATATAGAGAGAAAAGTATTGGAGGGATTCACATTGGATGTGGGGCCCTCCCATTTTTTTGATTCAGACCCAAAAATCTAGATTTTTGCAGGGAATTCTACCTTTCAAGGCTCAGAACCAAATCTAGATGACCCACAAATCTTGATGGGAAGTCCTCCTGTGTTGCAATATATATCTTTCCCATGAAGATTTGACATTTTTCTGTTTTTTTTTTTTTTTGGTTTGAAGGATCCCATATTTCCTTGTTTGTCCTTTGATATCTACAAGTTTTTTCCTTGACATCCGCAGCATCTGACACAAGTCCAGCTCAACCGGCCTTTCTATGCAATTCCTTTATTGGCTCCAGAATGAGAAGAGCAAAGCAACCTCATTTATGGAACCAGAGACAGAGTTTGCCCTGATCCGCTGTGAGAACTCCTTTGGGATGGGTTGGCAGTCCTTGAGGGGGAAATAACAATAATGATATTTCACTAGATAATATTTACTGTTACGGGTGGTTTGAAAGACCTGCCCCTCTATTTACTACACAAGAATTCTGACAACAATTTAATTTATTGTTGTGGCGTGACTTTATGATGGAGAAAACTTATATGTAGTAGTCTCTATCAGACCTAGATCAGTATGTAATTCAATACAAGATGTTTGTACAACCTTTACACGGTGAGTATGGGTGTGAAAACAATCCAAGTGGAATATTTTATAGGGTTTTATGGTTTTATGGTGATTCTGGATAAGTAGTGAAACTGTTGGTTGTTGTTGTTGATGTTGGTGTTGGTGTTGGTGTTGGTGTTGGTGTTGGTGTTGGTGTTGTTGTGGTTACTAGTGTTGACTAGACTTGGATGATGATGACCACTGAGCTGGCTGGGGGGGATGAACCGGCTGGGTGATGATGGTGTTTGACCACTGAGCTAGCTGGGTACTGTGCTGGCTGGGTGATGATGGGGGGAATTGGTGAAGGAGAGGCCTCCTTATATATTCTTTTCTGAGTTATTTTTGCTGGTGGTGATGTAGTTGAGGTGATTTTGCTGGTGGTGACCTTGTGGGTTGCACTGCCTCCTGCAAAGAGTACATGCATTGAGCTAATTATGCTGTGGAAATAACTAAATATGGTACTACTGTATGTAAGGATTGCATAACTGGTTGCACTGCCTGGTGGAGGTTTTTCTGTCCACATGCATTTATGCAAAGTCTGCGTAAATTCAATTAAGTAACTAAGTGGAGGCCTAATGGTTGCACATATGCATGCAAGAATTGCATAAATGGTCTGCACTACTGGCGGAGGCCTGCTGATGTAATAATCTATGTTTATGTACATCTATATATGTGGTAAACTACTATTAAATACTAATTAATGACTAGTTATGGTATGGCTTTAACCTTTATATTGGATTATCTTCTAAACTAATAGAGATAGAGGTATGGTTGTAGTGGGTGACTATGGGTAAAATTGTATGCAGATTCTGATTATGCAATAATATATTCATATATGTAAGTGGTTTAGGTTGTAAGGTAGGGGTTTTGGCAGTTTTGTTGCGCACAACAGCCTGGACCACCACATCCCCCCCCAAATTAATGCTGTCCGCAGCATTCCTGGTGTAAGCAAGAAAACTGCCCCAAGCCTCTAGTTGACTAATTCTAATTCATTAATACGTTTTGATTCCTAACTGATATCCTACTGATTCTCCTTTTCTTCATGACTTGGTCCTTCTGTTCATCTGATTGGGTTCCACTTTGATTGAGTTTCCGCCTTCCAGGTTTTTCTTCATTGTAACTGATTTCTTCCTCTTATTCCCAAATTATAATATACGTTTGTCCTTGTTATTCTCCTCGTCTCGTTCTCCGCCTGCCACGTCCAAATCAAAGGCTCCAAATACGACTCTCTTTCATTCTATTTCATGGGTATTAGTCCAAGGAAAAGGCTGGTGGTTGATGTATTTGAAGGCTGTTCCAAAAAGAAAGGTCTCCAACCGCTGAGTCGAATGGGCTTTTGAATACACGTTCAATTCACCGTCCCCCCGGAAGGATTCCTTAACTATTTCTTCCACATTTTCATTCTATTTTTCCTTCACATCGATAATCTCTATTCAAGTCTAAACTATATTATTATTTAGTATAATTGGTTGATCTGCTATCTTCTGAACTTTCTTCCTGTTTTAGTGTCTAATCTCTTTCTCTGCGTTATTCCAATAAATAAAGCCTCCAGTCCTTGTCATTTAAAAAATTTGTTTCCGTATAGTATCCGTTATTCTTCTCTTCAATCAATGGCCTAAAATTCGCCTTCTACTGACTCGTTGCTGTCTTCGTTACTTTCTCCTGAGGCGGCTTCTTCTTCCCCCCCACTTTCATTATTACTACTATTACTACTTGTCTCTTCCTCTGATTTGTTGTCTTCTTCCTCTTCCAATTCTTCTTCTGTAAGGTGTCCAATTCACATAGTCCTGTCCCTGCATCAATAATGATAATCCATTTCCTGCCGTGTTTTTTTTTTTTTTTGTGTTTTGGCCCTGCCACTTGATTGATTTTTCCTATTGAAATTAGATTACAGTTTTAAGTCATGTAGGACCTCCCACCTTGATTTATCTTGAGGGTTTGCAGTTTAAGGTCTTACAGGACCTCTTTTGGTTTTAAATTTTGCAGTTTAAGGTCATACAGGACCTCTTTTTAGTTTTAAGTTTGCAGTTTAAGGTCATACAGGACCTCTTCAGTTTTGAGTTTGTAGTTTAAGGTCATACAGGACCTCCTTCAGTTTTGATTTTGCAGTTTAAGGTCATACAGGACCTCTTTTAGTTTTAAGTTTGCAGTTTAAGGTCATACAGGACCTCTTTTAGTTTGCAGTTTAAGGTCATACAGGACCTCTTCTAGTTTTAAGTTTGCAGTTTAAGGTCATACAGGACCTTGACCTCCTTCTCTTTCTCTTTTTTTTTTTTTTTTTTTTTTTTTTTCTCTGAGGGGGTGTGTCAGTATGGTCTCCCAGGTGTTGTGTATTGAGTGGTGGTTGATGAGCTGAAATTGCAGTTTTCGGTATACTGGACCCCTGTGACATCCAGTCGATATTTCCTGTGCCCCACACTGATGAGTCTGCGACCAAGTCTCGACCCTCGCGCGCCGCGCTCAGAATTTGCAGAGGATGTCACTCGACCTGTGAACCTCTAAGCCACCGACATCTGATTTCTTCCTCCGCCCGATGCCGGCGCTATCAGGCACATCAATGCACATCAATGTCCGTATGAACCCCGCCGCAACCGTACATCGACTCCCTCCAACGGCCCTGCAAGCGATCGATCCTCTACTCGTGCCGGTCAGGCCTCGTATGCGGTATGAACGCTCTCGATTCGCCCTCCACTCGACCGTTTCCCCTGGCCGCCTTTCCCATCTCCGCCGGTCCGCCGACGATCCCTTTGTTCTGCAGCTCCCGACGTACCGTTCCCACCGATCTCGTCGACACTCTTTGGCGGTGCCCCCCCAACCAATTCCTAGGCTTGATCCTCGGCTCCAGTTGTTTTGCACTCATGTCCCCTGCAACCAAGGTCCTACCAACGGTCTTCGCCAGTTCGCAACGGTACCTCCATCGGATCCTCCGCGCTCTGTTCGTTGTGCTGTAATCTACCCGCCATTCGCGACTCCTAACCGCTTTTGCGCTGTGGCCTAGCCGATTTGATTTTTGCTATGTCCGATAGTCCTCAGAGTACGTCCGTTCTTATTTATTTATTTATATGTATATGTTCTTTGATTTCAATTCAGCCGTTGAATCTAGTCGCTGCCTCCACCTTGTATCCCTCGTTAATTAATCACCAATCGTATTTGGTCTCATCGTTCCTTCAGACGGCCGTTGGGTTTGTGTACGCGGCAACAAAGCATGATCGATGAACTTAATATCAACGGTTTGCATGTAGGCTCCTTTATTTCCTCCATTCGTCCGACTGGCACAGCAATACGACACATCCGAGATCGATCCTCGACCTTCGTTGAGGCTTCTCCTCTCGATCTCGAATATAAAAGGACCCCTCTTGTCGCAACTTTCTCCGTGTGATTTACTACCCTCGGCCTTGGCAGTTCATCCTCTTGGTCTCATCAGCCCATCCTCTTGGCCTCGTCAGTCTTCCGCTTGTATGATGTTCCTTTCCAATCTTCCGTCTTGTCCGATAGCGACCGAGGACAGTAGTTATCACCCACATATGAAGAACTTTTTTTTTTCCTTAATGCTTGTGAATAGATATCAACACGGACGTAGCTGAACATCTTGTTCATCCTGAGTTTTTTTTTTTTTTTTTTTTTTTTTTTTTTTTGTGTATGTTGGTAAACAAACAAAAAAATCATATAAAGAAAGGTGAAGGCAGTAAAGATGTACAGTTTTAGGTACCTGATTGTCTTATATATATATATATATATATATATATATATATATATATATATATTGGTAAGACAAACTTAAAGAAATGATATGAAGAAAATTTGAAAGCACATTAATGATGTGTAGATGTAATTGTATCTAGATTGACCTATCTGAGTGAAAAGTTTTTTTTTTTTTTTTTTTTTTTTTTGCAATACACTATTGTTTGATGACTTTCCCAAAAAAAATTCCTCTGTTAATACATTACTAATAAAAGGAAAAATGAGTAATTGTTGTAAGTGACCAGTTTTTCAAATGAAAAACTTGTAGCCACCAAAGCTTGAATTTCTTATGTTCTTAGCTCTATGGCTTCTTGATATGTGCTTTTTGTACCACTTATGTGCTCCTCCTCCGTATAATCTCTGTCTGATAGCAATACTGACTGGTCCATATCTTGAGTTCCAGGTCCCGTATTGTAAGAAACTTTCCGCTGCATCCGTTGTGAGAATTTGCAAAAAGTCCAAAGAACCCAAGCCGCCTCCTGGTAACTCTCGTAACCATAAGGGTAATTTCCATAATGACCTTTTCTGAGTAGGCCAAGTGAATACCTCCTTGAATCGCGGGTGTAATCGAACTTCCTCCTTGTACAGACTCCACGCATCTCTTTCTGGATCGGCATTTGTACCCCATACAGCTGAATTAATTTGGTGGAATGCATCCCAGGCTACCTCGTCCACTTCTGCTGCACCGAGTTCTCTTGCCCAGTCCACGGGTTCTGACAAAACAACCTGCCACGGATCTTCATTTAGAAGTGGAATTGTTTTATTGTACTCCTCCATTCTCTCCTGCAGGTCAAAATCTTTTGAACTGATACTTTCGGCCTCCCACTCATCGACTTGAAAAGTGAAGACTTGTAGAAGCTTTGGCGGTTCTTTGTGCCATCCTGGTGCATTTGGTAAGCATATTGGTATGCATAACCTCCGTTGATCGGTGTCTAAAAAGCTTAACACTTCCCCCTTCTGGCTTGATAACTCTAGCCGGATATTATGATCTGCAAGGAAAGGTCGCCCTATAACTGTATGTACTGATCCTTTAACAATAAAGAAGTTGGCCAGGTGAATGTGTCCTGGAAATACGCTGACGGGTATGTTCTCCGCAATCCCAATGATTGGTGTAAAATGTCCCCCAATTCCCTTCAACCGCATGAATATTTCTGTCGTTAAAAGTCCAAGTTGGTCTGCCAGACTGTCCGGAATGATGTTCATTTCCGCACCAGTATCCACCAAGGTCCTAATTTTCCGTTTATTTATGGTCATATCCACCATTCCCACTGGACACGCGTAAGTAAGCCCCGAATCTTGTCCTTCATTATCGATACTTGCGTTGGTTGCACAGTTGAATTTGACACTGTTCAAACCCCTTTCAACCAAGTCTTCTTCTGGCTGTACCGCATGCAAACTCTGCAAGAAATTTGGCGAGATCTTCAAGATTTCTTCTAAGGTGAGAGTGTATGACTGGCGGTAAAATTTGGCTTTCAATGATTTATCCAATTTTCCAATTATCTCCTCTTGTTTATCTGCCGTCTCCGTCCTAGTCTGCTTTTCTTTTGCCGGCAGAACTGGTCGGGTCTTAGCCTTAGTAGGTATAATGATCCGTTCTTCTTCCTCGTCGACGTTGTCTTCAAGCCACGATCCCGGAAAACTTTTTCTCCTTGGGGCTGTTTTCGGGGCCTTGTCCTGAATATTTGATGATTGACCCTCTGTTCCTATAGGGTTTCTGGGAGCTGGTTGGCTACCGGAGGGTGCATTCTTCTCCTGTAGTCGCTGAGATTTCCGGAGTCCAAAACCTAGGTTGTTTTGTAGGTCACCTTCCTCCATGTTTACTTGTGGTGGAACCCAAGATCCCCATTCTTCAATTTCTGCCACTGCTGACGTTGATTCCTTCACGGCTTCCTTGGGTGGAGGATTTGAAGAAGTGCTTTGCTCTTCTGCAAACTTTCTGACTAATTCTCTAACAGATGAATCCTTGTCTAAGACAATTGCCTGCCGGTTTGGATAGTAGTAGGTTCCCTGAGACTTGTACACCTTCCGATCCTGCATATCTTGATTGAGGTATTCACACTGAGTGACCACATGTCTCTCCTTGCAGTAAAAACATTCCAAAGGGCCATATCTTGGTCTGTTATCTGAGATTCCCGGCGAGGATGGTCTGCTGACGTGTGGTGGTGCTTGAAGATTCTGATATTCCAAGGCGGAAGTTAACTTTGTAAGCTTCTCTTCTAAGTCTTCCTTGGTTGCTGGTTCCTGAATTTTGACCGTCTTTTTGACCTGCTCCTTAGGTTTGTATTCCTCATCATCCCCATCAAAATCCACAATTATCAGAGCAATTTCCACGTATTTCTTCAGCTTTTCCAGATCTGGGACAATGTTTCTCCCGTCTTTTGTTGTCTGAAGTTGTTTGGCGTGGGCTAATTCCTTAGTCACTTCCTTTTTTAATTCGGTGGAGAGTGCTTTCCACAATGGGTTTCCGCTGTCCGGATTAAGATTTTGGTACTCCATCCTTGTAAAGTAGTCCATAATTTCCTCGAATCCACTGATGAATTTCTTGTATTCTAGTCTAGTGTTGATGCCACCATTTTCCTGGGCCTTGCGTATGAGTCTTGGTATAGAGTCTTCCTTGTAGCGTCTCAGAGGTGTTGCTCTCCCCCATTTCCGGATTAACTCTTTCTTCAAAAGCTCCCAATTGCTGGTTTCGTGTCCTTCCATCTGCTCTATAGCTTCACTAATTTTTCTATTACTGATGATGAAGGGTAATTGGAAAGCCACGTCTCTTCCGCCTGCCTTCTGTAACACCGCAACTTTCTCCACTCTCTTAATGAAAAGTTCCACCTCCGTTCCTTCAAAGTAGAGGTTAGTCTTTTTCGTGTCCAAAACTACTCCTCTCTGTTCGTCCGGAAGTTTGATTTCTGTTCTGATCCTGGTTTGTTCAAATCCTGGTGATTGAATAGCTGAAGTAGGGATACTTTGCTCTCCAGCGCCAATGGTTGTCTCCAATCCTGGTATCCTGCCGGTGTAAGGGGTTGATGTCCCAAATCTTAAGGTGTGTACCCTTGGAGATGGGGTTTCTGGTAAGGGTGGGCCTCGGGGAGATGCTGATTGACTGAAGAAAGATTTCATCATTTCCTTCATTTCCGCCATAGATGATTCCATTCTTGATATCTTCTCTTGTTGTTCCTGGATTATTGCCGATTGGTCCATGCTGGAGTCCTCCGGATTCGCCATATTTCCCTGTTGCCGTTTTTCCCGTTCGATTTCCTCCACGACTTCCTCGAGTGAATGGATCTCCTGCCGTGTTAAACTACCGTTGTGCCAAGTCCTCCTAATCCTGTTATCTGTAATTGTTTCCTCGCCTAAGTCCGTTTGGTCGTTGGTCTCCTCGCCTGTCCGCGCCAAAGTCGAATCCTCGTGCTCGTGATCCAGGGTTGAGTGTAAGTCTTGATGATATTGATGATACGTCGTTGATCTTCTGAAAGTTGTCGGCCACTGTTGGGACACCAGATGTGAGAACTCCTTTGGGATGGGTTGGCAGTCCTTGAGGGGGAAATAACAATAATGATATTTCACTAGATAATATTTACTGTTACGGGTGGTTTGAAAGACCTGCCCCTCTATTTACTACACAAGAATTCTGACAACAATTTAATTTATTGTTGTGGCGTGACTTTATGATGGAGAAAACTTATATGTAGTAGTCTCTATCAGACCTAGATCAGTATGTAATTCAATACAAGATGTTTGTACAACCTTTACACGGTGAGTATGGGTGTGAAAACAATCCAAGTGGAATATTTTATAGGGTTTTATGGTTTTATGGTGATTCTGGATAAGTAGTGAAACTGTTGGTTGTTGTTGTTGATGTTGGTGTTGGTGTTGGTGTTGGTGTTGGTGTTGGTGTTGGTGTTGTTGTGGTTACTAGTGTTGACTAGACTTGGATGATGATGACCACTGAGCTGGCTGGGGGGGATGAACCGGCTGGGTGATGATGGTGTTTGACCACTGAGCTAGCTGGGTACTGTGCTGGCTGGGTGATGATGGGGGGAATTGGTGAAGGAGAGGCCTCCTTATATATTCTTTTCTGAGTTATTTTTGCTGGTGGTGATGTAGTTGAGGTGATTTTGCTGGTGGTGACCTTGTGGGTTGCACTGCCTCCTGCAAAGAGTACATGCATTGAGCTAATTATGCTGTGGAAATAACTAAATATGGTACTACTGTATGTAAGGATTGCATAACTGGTTGCACTGCCTGGTGGAGGTTTTTCTGTCCACATGCATTTATGCAAAGTCTGCGTAAATTCAATTAAGTAACTAAGTGGAGGCCTAATGGTTGCACATATGCATGCAAGAATTGCATAAATGGTCTGCACTACTGGCGGAGGCCTGCTGATGTAATAATCTATGTTTATGTACATCTATATATGTGGTAAACTACTATTAAATACTAATTAATGACTAGTTATGGTATGGCTTTAACCTTTATATTGGATTATCTTCTAAACTAATAGAGATAGAGGTATGGTTGTAGTGGGTGACTATGGGTAAAATTGTATGCAGATTCTGATTATGCAATAATATATTCATATATGTAAGTGGTTTAGGTTGTAAGGTAGGGGTTTTGGCAGTTTTGTTGCGCACAACAGCCTGGACCACCACACCGCCCCTTGCCAAGGTAGTCAATTTCATCACCATTGTATTTGAAAGAAGCGGGTGGCTGCAAGGTGGTGTGTTGCAGGCTGTGGCCCTGGATAAGCTGAAACAAAAGGGTGGGATAGTAGGTGAAAAACCCAAGTAAAAAATAGAAAAAAACACTGATCCATTTGTGAAAGATATCTCAAGTAGTGAAAACACTTTTGATGAGTTTTCTGGCCTCTTGGAACTTAAAAATCATGTTCCCTATATGACTCTTTTTATTATCTTACAAGCCTGATGAGAATTGATTGGTCTTCCTATCAATAAGCTTTCATTGCTATTTCTTGTAGGATTATTCATGGATTAGAGATTTTTTCTGCCCCATTGATTTAGTAGGGCAGTAAAAACCAATAAACATGTTTTAAACTGTGTGTTTTGTTGTTTTTAGGAAAGCCCCTTGGGAAAATTAATAGCAACCTAACAAATAGAGCTACCTGAGGCTAGGGAATGACAAATGCTGTACTTGGGGATCACCAGGTTCTTCCTTGAAGTAGCTCCACCTTGGAAGAATGATGTATGTTGATATTAAAAATAACTACAAATTGTAATCATCTGTTACAAGATTTTTCTTCCAGATTTTTTTCTAGAGAAATATTCATAGTTTGAATAGATAATGATGTAGTTGACTATCTCAACCAGGGGTTTTTGATCACAGGTGGGTTTCTGGCCATTCCATTTTACAACTTTGTCAGTTTCTTTTGCCCAGTATTCCACAATATTCCAAGCCATATGATACCAAATATCTTTTCGATAAAGAAGATTACGTATCCTAGTTTCATTCAGGTCACTCCCATCTTTGAATAAATGGGAGTTTTTCTCTGCCCAGTCATTCTTCAGAAATTGGTCAGAGAGTTTAATAATTTCCATCCATGCATTGTTGATCACATCCAAAATCTTGTCTAATTCTGCTTGGGTCATCAGTTTATCTTCAAAGTTTTTCAATTCTCCAACAGGGTGTTCCTTGAATATTGAAAGGTGGATGATTATCAAAAATGTAGCTATTTTATTCACATTCTCCAAATATTCCATGATAGTTGCAATCCTAGATGGTGATAGCCCATTGGATTCTTCCCATGGATCAGTTGATTGTGTTCTTGATTCAATTTTATTTTTCAAATTACCAAGAAGACTGGTGAATGTTGGGTTACTGTCAAGGGCAAGATTTTCATTTGCAAGATTCAAGACGATCTCACTAAGGATTTCGTTTCTGATCCGAGATTCAACTTTTGTGTAGAACAAATATCGCTGTTTCCGGTATGCGGCTACTACTTTGACCAAGTCAGCTCGGGCTATCCAATGAAATTTCTCATTTTTTCTGAATTTGAAGTTCTTAAAGACATTTGCCAGATTTTGGTTTGGCATAACTTCCTGGCAGTTCGAAATTTCGTTTCCTTGGCGCATCCTTACGAAATTCCAATCGTAAACTCTCAACAACGTTGGAAGTAGTTTTTCAGTTTCTTTTTCATCCCTGTCAATTCCTTTGGCATCAGGTGCATCCGTTGGTGTATCTCCTGGTCGTTTAGAAATTTTTACTATCATTTCATGGTTAGAAAGTAGTTTCTCTGATTCGCTGAAGGAGGTTTCGCGAGGTGAATGGTCCTGGATTTCGATGAGCATTCGCGGGTCGCCCTCATTGTACTTCGGCCGTTTGGCCATTGATCCCTTCCTTGAGGAAACATATTTATCTTGACGGGAGGTAGAAGGCCTGAGGTCATCAGACTTGCTCTTTGGACAGGAAAACAATGATGGAGACTGTACTAGACTGAACTGTCTCTTGGAACCCGAGTGTTGAGGTTGAGAATATGCGATTTGTAGGCGCGGTGGGATATCCTTCATGGGAAGGTCATCCTCAGACGAGCCACCCAAACCTATCAATTCTTGAGGTTCTTGGACTGTGGGTTTTCTTATGCCAGTAAGAGCCGTGGGCGAGATCAGTGAGCTTGCGCCAACTAACAGAAGTATACGCTTTTTTAGGAACATCCTGATCAGTATACACTGAGAACCATGCGCAGTAAAGCTGTTGTTTCCCTTTTTGCTCGCAGAAGAAATGGAAAAGGATTGAACAGAGAACGAAACACAGTGGCTCAAAATATGTACCTGTTGTGAGGAAGCCGCGCGCGGATATGTGCCAAGCAAATGCCATGTAGAGGAAGAAACAATAACTCTTCTTGAAGTATCGAGCGAGAGCTAGAGTGATGAAACCAGCGAAGAATGCGTTAGAAGGCACGGAATGAGCTCATGGCCCTTCGTAATCGTATTGCAAGCTTTACTTTCAATTCGACAAATCTTCCTGCAACAAAGCTTCATGAACCAGTGTATGTGAATGTTGTTAGTCGTTTTACATTCTGCACATGCACACCGGCCAACCCTACGGAATACCAGACAAAATCGTACAACCTGTTCTGATCAATCGTTTCGAGTCGGAGAGGGTCAATATATCAGTCCCTGTGTTTTTTGTAATGAAAGCAGTGGTCTTCATATCCCCTACCAAAAAAAAAATTGAAAAGTCCTCGACCTGTGCAGAGACCAATTGCTAATTCTCCTGCAATAATTCTCAGAGACCCGGACTTCATGAGCTAAGTAGATCACACTAGAGTGAATTAAGTTTACCAGGGAGCGCTGGACTTAGGCGCCACGTGTCGGCATTCTGTGGGCACATTTTAGGTAGGGCCACCAATACGGTGCGCCGACGACCGGCCGAAATAGTGAAGGGCTATCCTTTCTCCCTGAGCAATATACCATCATTCGAGGAGAAGAGAATGGATTTTTCACTCCTCTTTGGATGCATGTAGATGAGAGAAGAAAGAGGTCATCTTTCACCCCTTTGCCTGGTACAAGGGAGGCGTAATCTCATCCTCTTTGACAATTACATTCTATTAGGCAAAGGAAAGAAGGAAAAATGCATATTCTCCCCTCGCCCAACATACAGTGGCAAATGGGAGGTGATAGAATTCTTCTCTTTCTCATGCATACGTATGGATCTTCCATTCACAATCAGGTGGGCCCTCGGTCTAGCGCTCCCATGAAAATTTGTCCTTGTCAGGAAAGCTCATTTTATCTTATCTCCCTGGGGTGATACTGGTTCGACTCAAGTGGCTGTCTAGAGCAACCCAACTTTGTTTTGGCTCAGATGTAATAAATGTTGAGTGGGACCATTTTCACGCATAGAATCAATGAATTTGAATTGGACAAAACTATGTGGCATTCGGGAAAGAATTATAAGAAGATTGATACACTTGTAAGCAGATAAAATATGTCAGTTTTTCTTTTTTTTTCAAATGAAGTTAAGCTACAGATCCGTGATTTTGTCATGTGCCTCTAAAGGTTTTTTTTTGTCTGCATTTTACATGGGATCAGGGCTAAATATACACTTTACAAACATGTATGAAACCTGGCCAAGGAGAATTATTTGTCATTCTTGTTTGACTTCGCGATGATCTTGCTTTCTATCATTCATTTTGGCGGTGGGGAGGATGATTATGGTTGAATCAGATGATACGACCATCCAATTTTTCTGAAGCGAGTTTCGAATCGAATTCATCTGAATTTTCCCTCTCTTGCATGAATTTGGAATCTATTTGACCTTTGAACCTTGAAGAGGTTTTCGCTGCAGGCCAAAAGTCTAGCGCAAACGTCTTGATAGAGTAAGAAGACGGACATGTGGGGTTAAAACCTGGAAGGTGCTTAATTGGTCGCAATCAAGGAATGGACATACCAGGAAGTAAACAGTCAATAGGAAAGCGACCGCCCATTCGCATATAGCGGCTGTCGATAATAGTAGATTACCGCGCCTTGTGGTAGGTTTGCCTCCGCATGTCATATACTTAATTTTAGTGGAGTGTGAATCAGAATCAGGCTGGAGAAAAAAGTGCCGCTGTCAAAAGTGATACTAACCAAACTACCAAAAACGACCCCAAGCGCTGCAGATGTTGACACAATGGAGAATTTGAGCACAGCGTTGCGCTTCAAATGAGCCCGATCGGGGTACTCTTTGTGCAGAAAGAAAACCTCAACAACTTGACTGAACGAGCTGATTGCTATGAATATCATGAACGTGAACGTAAAGCACCAATGAGCAGTCGGATGGTTGAATGTGTCCAAGAACCTGGAGAAAAAATGGACCTGAATTGATATCGGTAGCATACTTCGGATTGGTTGAATAGGAAATTGGGTGACTTACGATAACATCATGAGGGAAAGTCCGCCTAAGATTCCATGGACTGTGGTGGAATATCCCCAAAACCTTTGCTTCTTCCCGTTCACTTGCGGTATGCGATGGTGATGTCTCAGCCATCGTTCAGCGAGTAAAGTCATTGTATAAAACAAGAAAACCAAGGTACATCCGGGTGTAAACCAACTCAGATGGGCTGCTCCAATATCCGCTGAGGATGGTTCAGATTTAATCAATTGTTTTCTCGTCCTGAGCTGTCCTGAAAATGAAAAGAAGGGAATGATTCTTACAGATGAACAGAACGCTTCCTTCATCAGGCCGATATCGTTGTCCATGAGCAGAAACAAGCCAAAACAGCAGCAATCCAACCAACATCGCGAACCACACCACCGCCGTCATTACTGGTAACCTAGGCAGGGAAAGCGCCCATGCCGTTCAATACCCACATACGAGAAATTTATTTCGCTTGAAAAGCTTACCATACGTAGGCTCCATATGTGACGAACTTCATTATTTTAATCGGGATGTATCAGTTAATCAGGTTATAAAGACGGCGTGGAATCGTTGACGGCAGTGACACATTGACTGGAGTCCCAATGACCATGCCTGAAGAATACAATCATGGCTTTGGCTGCAATCATGAACAAAAAAGGAAACATTTAGGCAAAGGGATATTGTGGTATCCTGTGGGCCATTCTGGATGAGTTGAATGACAGTCTCTGTGCTAGCCAGAGGCTACGTACACAGGGCTGCGCTGCATACACAGCTCATACCTTCGGGCCTTAGAGGACCCTTGTAGGTTGTGCACTTGGAACGCGCCATTTTTTTTCAGCTCAAAAAGCTGTTGTTTCTGATAAACATGTAGTTGGCAATGACTGATAACCTTCGGACCGAACTTCCGAAGTGATTTATGAACATCGTCTTGCGCATATTCCAACGGAGCATTGAAGGATTGGCCGCCAAGATTACACGAACGATCCCCAAACCAAAGGTCGCGTCGTGCGGACCTTTGTGCAACCTCCCGGCTTGATGAACCCTGGGAGGTCGTTTCACCATTCTTTTGGCTTCGCCTTTATACCATGTACAACAGGGTCGTTAAGGCGCTTCTCCCTCGGCCACCCGGCCAAGCTTGTACGAGCTGCGCATGAGGAATCCACCTCGGTGATCCGGTGTGTGCAAGGTGAACCGCTTGCCCTCTGAGACCCGGTCGAAGGCGTACCGGTTGCCGAATAGGAATCCGCTCGGCAACCAGCACAAACCTTTGCCACTCATTGAGTTGCCGAGGGCGAACTGCCTCTGGCAACACGGTACAAGCTGCACCAGAGCGATAATGAAGAAAAATCCTCGTGGATCCGATAGAGGATGGGCCAGATTTACTAAAACTCCTCTTCAGCGAAGGGGTACTCGGTTAGTCTCCCTCATGGGTGACCCGGTACAAGATGTATCGGGTCATCAAATGACAATCACCTTTGCCGAACCGGTACAGTGTATACTAAGCCAACAAGAAGAGATCTCCTTTGCTTAGCGGTACAGATGGGATCAGATCACCAAGGAGGATTCCTCCTCGGTAGCCGGTACGCCTTGTACTACATCAAGTTCCATGCAATGTGACCTTTGGTTTTGGGTACTTCTTGGGTATTTAATTTTCTATCAATGCATACAACTGTAGTCACTTCCAACCTGCATTTTTTTTTTAAAAAAAAGCATCTTCAATCCTGTTCCATTTGCGAGGATTGAATTTTAATCACATAGCCTGTGACACGTTTTTGTGACATCTACATAACTGGTCTTCATCTTTGCAACTTTGATCAAGTCCCCTCTTCCCTCTTCTCCTCCATGAGCATAGGGGCTTGTAAGTTATGAAGTAAAATATTGTTTTAACACAAGGGGTTCATTTTTGAATTTGCAAAGAAAGCATTGGTAGGTCATGATTAAAATGTCACCAGAAAAAAGCCCTTCATCTTGCCCTCATCATCACTGTCTTACATCACACTGGAGGATATTTCATTCCAACTGGTAGAAAACAGTTTGAGAGAGATCCATGGGATTCAGAAAGATGAAATGAGTATTTCTTTTTCCAAGTATGTAGATGTTTTCCTGAATTCATATTTCCCACCAGTGAGAATTCTGAAGTTGCTCAGCCTCACAAACCAAACTAATTTTAAAAACATCAAATTTTCAGCCTGTTGTCACGTGTCCTTCATATATGCTTTTGGCTATTTTTGAAATTCCAGTCTTCAATTAGAGATTCAAAACTAATCATAGAAGTCACTTTGCAGAGAATTGCCCCTTGTTGCTGCAATCTGTTGGGTCAAAGGTCAGATGTGGCTAACCCAGCCTGGGTTGAATTCACTCACCCAGATCAATCAGCCTCTCCATTTCAGTCCTTCAGACTAGTTTGATCATCTCAAAAACTGACACCCTTTATAGTGTTTTGCCAATATGAATGGGGTGCAATAGAGTTGGATGTATATTTCGACCATGGGAGTGTTGCTCCAAAAATCACTGTCCAAGGCACTACAGTCATGGGTATTATCGATTTCAAACGAAGTCAAAATATCACAGCAGAACGTCCAGCACCCATCATGCCTGGTGAGTCAACAATTTACTTGAAATGATCGACATCACAAAAAATGATGGACACGTCTATTCAGATAATTGAGCTCCAGGACCCGTAGTCCACCACTGATCCTTGACTAGATCCTGATGAACCACACACACTGAATTCACAACATCATCGGAATTAGGCTGACTGGTTTTTTCTCCTGTTGTTGGCGGATCCGTAGTCGATCGTGGCAGCGGTGTTGAAGATTCCGATGGCGGGGTTGACGCCTTGTTTATGTGTTTATGCAGTTGAATTGAGACAAAGGTAAGCAGTTGCTCCAATTCACAATCAACATAAAATCTTAGGATTTCATAGATTTAACAGATCTTTGTTGAGAGCATGTGAAGTAAATCTTACCTTGAGATTGTTGTCAGAAGTTGGGTCCGCGGCCTCAGATTTCTGGGTTGTGCAAAGTTTCTCCAATAATGAAGACCAAATCAGGATCGACCCTTTCTTGAAAATTTCGAGCTCATTGTTGTAATTGATTTGGAATCGATCGAATAAGATCGAGTGTTTATCTTTTGAAAACGTTCCTTTGAGATCGCTATGAGCTTCTTGAGTTGTCCGTTTTCCTTGTTGCACTAACGCCCAAAAGGTCGTATTATATAAATTGTTGATGTGAGCTACATTGTCAAGATACGTTCAACATCAGCCCTGGTCAAGTGAACGAATAATATCAGAATAGTGCAATTTACATACCATCTACCTGTCTCCATTTGAAGTAGTCTTGGAACTCTTGGAAGGTGGCATACTGAATTATTCTTGTTAGTATAGTTTTAATACGAGTGTCGCCGAGTTTATTTTTGACGTTTTATATAAAAGAAGTATTGATTTGGAAAGAATGTTTGAATCAATCCGTCTGAAGCAAACTTCCCCAAGAAGAAATACTGATAAGCCAAGATTGAGAGTTGAAGAGAGGAAAAAGAATGAGCTGATAGCTGGGCTCACCTTCCATCAAAAGTGGGTAAATTTTCAATTGAAAGTGGGCTCTCAGGAAAGTATTCTGACCACAGATGGATGTATGCGGCCGTAAAAGTGGATAAAACGGTTGTCAAAAGCTTGCTATTTTTCGGTGAGTGAGCCGGAGCAGGGAGGGAGAAATAATGGATCAGCAAGGCAAACAAAAGTGTGGATACACTTATTCAGATTGTTTACAAATTTACCTAGATCTTCGATTATAAGCTTGACAATTTCTACCAAATGCAAAGCTGAATTCATCGCTTTGTCCGTAAGCAAGGACGATACCGGTAGATGATTTCTGTTTGCCTTTCTTCGATTTCTTTTCCGATTTGGAACCAAGATAACCTCTTCCAAGGTCTGACTCGAGCACTTGGATTGCCGCTGCATTCATTAAATTTAGTGCTTTGAGATCGTTTGGTTTGGTGAATCCATGCGCCTGCGAGAATCTTGTTTTGATTTCAAAACATTTGTGAGCAACAGTCCCATAAGTGAAAGAGATGAAAATAAGTCGAACAGCTTTATAGCAAAGCAGTTTCGACCTAGAAGAGCCGAAGATTAACCGAAGATAGTGAGAAAAACTAACTTGGTGAAACCCTTCCCATCCAACCGAATTACCAAAAACGTATTTGGTAATAATCGATCATCTAGCTCCGCTTGACGAACGTAGCCAAAGCGAGAGTTGGCCATTGTTGGACTGTGGATGTGCAACTGAAAAGGAAAAGGATAATCCGATCAGTATGCTCAATATAATATCAGGAACCAATCCAGAATTCATCCGTCCAATCATGCTCACCACTTGTGTTGTCCTCGTCGATTGTTTCGGGATAGTGCTGTGTCACTGTTCGGACAGTCTGCCGGCGGAAATAACCTAAATTCCCCCGGATAGTGCCAGAGGCCCGGGCTCCGGGGTGATCCGGGCGCAAGAAATCAGTAAAAGCATTAGACCGGTCCCCCGAAAGCCCACTCCCAGCCAGCTCACCTACCGATGATCTGCTGCTTGAGTAAAGTTTTGCTAGATTGCTTGTGTGGATTATTTTCATGATTTTGAGGGATACCACTACAACGCACCTTGGCATGGTTTGCAGAATTTGTTTGCTTTGTTCTTAAAAAAAAAATCTTCAAAATCTAGAAAGTGAAAGTAATCATCCTCATAAAATTCAGAGTGGCAGGCATAAAAGGAACGCAATATTAAGAGAGAGAAAAGCTAATTAAAGGAAAAATAAAATCTGTCAATAGACTCAGCAGGGCCTGTACCATAGCAGCAAATTTTCAAAATTGGTACATTTTTCTTTCCAATCTTTGCAACTCCAATCCAAAACCGAATTTCACCACTGATAGTTCACCAATTGATATCAACTTCCATATACTAAAAATTCAATGGGTGTCAGAATTGTTCCCTTGAGATTGGAAAGTTGGCCCCAATTTTTGAAACTAAGCTGCTGTGGTACAGGCCATTAATGTCAGTTTTGGCGGATCAAGGGTGGATGACTGAAGGGAGTTTCTTTAGCTCTTTGATAGATTTGAAGCTGTGACTACTACATGACAGAAGGGACCTTGGTTGATCCAGATCCCAAACTGGTGTGTTGGAGTAGTGTCTCTTCTCCTTTTGTTTTCTCTTTCTTTCTTTGCTCACCTTTCATCATCTGTGTCACACACATTGCACAAGATTCAGAGTATACCTGGGCCAGAGTTTGTGGAAGGATTTCTCTCCTCATCCTTCCACAAACCTCGCACCCTGTCCCAGGTATGTCTCCACTTCTCTTTCTCTCCTTCTTTATTTTCTTTCTTTCTATTTTTTTTCTAATTTTTTGTTTCTCTCTTCACTCATTCAATTAATTCATCCTTCTGAAAACCTCGCACTCTGTCCCAGTTCATTCCAACATGGTGGACTGGTTGAACTGAAGATTCCTAAGAAAATCCAAAAGAAGTAATATACTAAATCTTGAATTAGTGAGGCAACTCCTGACCCAATCTCAACATGGGGTTTAGAACCAACAGTTGGTCACAGTCCTTTAGCATTCCGTAAATTTTACCCTCATTGTCTGCAAAAATTGGGGAAAAGCTGGCTCAGAATTGGGAGCATTTTTGCAACCCCCCTTCCTTAAGTTCTTAATATTAAAAGGTTGGAAAATCAATGAAAATTCCATTTATTGAATAAAAAACAAGAAACAAATGCCATAGACATGAACATCAGGGTAGATTTCCGGTGGAAAACAATGAGCAAATTGATTGGGGCTATCATTGCTCCTAGGATGTGCAGTTTTTGGACCAGTTTGATGGGCCTCAGCATCCTGTGACTAGCACATTCATTTACCACCTGCTCTGAAGTGAGTGCTTGTACAACTAGCCATAGAGGGTGCTTCATGGGCAGCCTCCATGGATGACCAAAAATGAGGACCCAGCAACCCGGTTTTCAGAAATCCAAACTTTCTAGTATTAGTTTTAGAAGGGAATGGCCACAAAATGGCATTACTAAGTAAGCAAAATTTTTGTTTTTATGGTCACTGTATAAAATAGAATAAATATCTGATGCACAAGTGCATTTTAGAGTTTGAACCACAACTAAATTAGATGATAAAATTCAAAATAAAATAAAAAAGCCAAGAAGGATACTGTGGATGCACATTCTGCTTCCCCCCACTTCTGGTCCTCTTGTGGTCTGATTTGGACCTTTGGTACCCAATTGAATGCGGTTGGTTTCACTAAGAGATTAAATTTGGCAGGCCTCTGTATCGGAGGCATTTGGCTTGACAGTGCTCATGGGATTTGGTTTGGCAGTTGCCAAGGGCTTCGGTTGGGCATGACTTTTTTCCTATCTGCCAGCCACTTGTGCATGGGGTGGATCGATAGCTAATGGATCAGGTCGATCCGATTTCTCCAAATCGATTTTCAAATCAAAGACGCCTGGAGTAACCATTTTTGGTGCGGACCTCGAATCTGTTTTACCCTGGGAGTGGCATTTGTTGGGCTCCAATCTTGAAGAAGTTTTGGCAGCTGGGTAAAAGTCCAGAACAAACGTCTTGAAAGATAAAGAAGATGGATGATTGCGGTCAACACATATTCAGAGGTAATGCAGATATTTTTATGAGTTGATGAGCAATGCATACCAGAAAGTAAAATGTTAGCAGGAAAGAAACGGCCCATTCACAAACAGCAGCTCCTGATAGAAGTAAATTATCGCGGCTGGACCTTACTAGACCTCCACATGAAAGAAACTAGGTTTCGATTGAACGTAAATCAGGATCTGATTCAGTAAAGAAAGATAAGTGAAGGCCATGCTAACCAAAACTCCGAAAACTACAGCAAGGACCGTAGCGATGGACACAATCCAAAGCTTGATCATAGCGTTGCGCCTCAAATGAGCCTGCTCAGGGTATTCCTTCTTCAGGCAAAAGACCTCAATGACTTGGCTATACGCGCTGATCATTAAGCATATGGCGAACATAAAGGTAAAGCGCCAATGAACAGTTGGATGCTCGAATTTACTCAAGAACCTGGAAAGAAAAATTCTTTCCCGATTAATCTCGGTAGCACGTTTGGCAGTGATCAGAAATTGGTTGACTAACGATAGCATCATGAGGGAAAGCCCGCTTAAGATTCCATGACCCGCCGTGGAATACCCCCAATATCTATGCCTTTTACTGATCACTCGTGGTATCCGCTCGCGATGTCTCAGCCATCGTTCGACGAGTAGAGTCGCTATATATAGTAAGGCAACTAAAGTGCATCCGGGAGTGAACCATATCATATGGGCTGCTCCAACATCCGCTGTAAAAATAGTTCAAAGTGGATCAATTTGCCGTTACCTGCCCTTGAACGAAACAAGATGACCCTTACAGATAAACAAAACACTTGCTTCATCAGGTCGATGTTTTCCAATGTCCGCTGCAGAGAAAAGTCGAAGTGATAGCAAGCCAGCCAATGTCGTGAACCACCCCAGCGCTGTGATGATGGGTAGCCTAGACAAGGAAACCGTCTCAGCCGTTGAGTAACTTTCGTTGTGCTATTGATCAAAGCTTACCACACGTAGGCCCCATATTCGGTGAGCTTCATTATTGAATCAGGACGTATTAGACTGTCAGGCTCAGAGGCAGCAACTAGCGATGAGGCAAAAACTCAGTGACAAGGGAGCTCATAATACATATGGCCTACTGAATTTCTTCAGCTACGGCTTATGTCCAGCGCGGTTGGGAAAAACGGGAGCAGCTCCAAGGTCATAAAGGAGCAATTGTAGTGTATGGTATCAGTAGTCCTACCACCCCCTTTGTCAACAAACGCGTTCAATGGGTCAGTTGCCAACTCCCAGCTCGGAAACCTAGTGAAAACATGAATGATTACAATACAACTGATCCGTCTTCTTGGTTACGACTATCAAGAAGTTACATAGAGCTCTACGTCGAGAAAAAAATGCTCGGCTCAAAATTAATCAAACGAAAAGGATACCTATACAATCATGTGAAAAAGTCTATAGAGCGTACCCATTCCTCATCTCATCCTCTGCAAGATACTACTTGTGGTTGTTGTCTCTCAATAACATCCACTAGCAACGAAAATTTCATTGAATCGAGTTTCTCAAGCATGTTGCCAACTTGCAGTGGTTCAAAGTCAGCAGGATGCATAATTATTTAAAAAAAAAAACAAGTTTCTAAGAATCCGACTTTTTTGATGTACCCAAAAGACTGACCAATTTCAGCTGCTCGGGCGCAAGCCTAACTTAATGAAGCCCCTTTGCTAATTTTGAGCTGGACATAAGTATTTACTTTTACGCGGGATGCAGATCTTCAGTATGTAGGTGTAGCCTGATTATTGCGAATGTTTCTAACCTATCAAAGTTGATTTTCTTGCAGAGTGTACATACCACTGCAAGAACAACTGCGACCACTGCATGGTGTGCACTACTAGAAAAGTGGACTTATGTTCACAGAGTTTTACTGCTGTTGGAGGTAAGCATTACTTGCTGGCAGGAGGGAGTTTCCTAAAAGATTTGTCCAATCTTGAGTGCTGTCGCGTGAACTTGAATCAAATTCCTCATATGCAGCGCAGACCACTAACTTAAAAAAGTCCCTCCCTGCTACATGACGGAGTGGTGAGACACTGGTCGCATTGCGGCGACCGGCCTCCTTCGGAGGGTCCCTTCGGGACGGTCCCCCCTCCGAATTCAGAGAGGGACTTTGTTCAGTTAGCGCAGACCACGAGTGCTAAACCAGTCCGAAGTCCTGAAGCTGAATAATCTCCATCAACCTCAAACATAGGCGATACTCCGGCGCACAGAAGGAATATCAATGCCGAAAGTGGTGGGGAGGACCGCCAAAGCTCAGAAGGCGCACTTAGCGATTTAACTCAATGTGGCTAGTTCAATCAACCAATCCCCCCTGCACTTCGGAATATGATTCATGCAACGCCCTGAAGGAGACCCACTTCGTACTTGTTTTTGGGAGTCACGCGACTCACCTCATTCGATATTAATCAACCGCAGGACGGGATGGAGGGAAAAGAAACAGGCGCTCGCCGAGGATAGTGAATACATCAAAGTAGGACAGTATCTTAAATTCATGACCAATGTGGGAAGGTTTGAACGCCCAGATGAGCTCATAACATTGGGAGGAGGGGACCAATGGTGAGGGATAGCAAGGAGACTGAGGTGTTCCAAAAACAACAACAGTTGGAACGATGCTAGGATAATGAGAATCATCTATTTCAATTTCTTCTTGGGGCGGAGTTGGGAGGAGTGGCCACATGAACGCTTGCGGCAGTTGGTAGCACGAGGAGGAAGACGAGCCTAATAGCAAATAGCAAAAGGGATAATCAATACGGGAAGATGAGTTCAGATGAAATGAACTGTTTAGGGTATGCTCACGTAGCATTTACGGCAGATCATCTTTTCACAGTTGTAGGTGGATGCCAAAGCCTTCAAGGAGGGCTCGATCAGGCCACCACGCAGACGGAGAACCAAGTGAAGAGTAGACTCTTTCTGGATGTTGTAGTCGGCAAGGGTTCGGCCGTCCTCGAGTTGCTTACCGGCGACTGTTGAGAGAAAGCCCAGCTGATCAGGAAGGCGCTCGAGAAGGACGGTACCAGATGTTGAATCGGATTATCAGTTGGATGTGCTCACAAATCAATCGCTGTTGGTCTGGAGGAATGCCTTCCTTGTCCTGGATTCTAGCGATTCACAAAGCAAGTGGGGTAAGAGCTGGGTTTCTTGAGCATGGGCTGAGAGGACATCTTCAAATCGCAACATACTTGGCCTTGACATTGTCGATGGTGTCCGAGGATTCGACCTCGAGGGTGATGGTCTTCCCGGTAAGAGTCTTGACGAAGATTTGCCTGAAACGAAGTCGACGAAAGGAAGGAAATCGGGTTCAGAAGGTTAGGATGTGCATCAAAGGCCTTCTTGGAGACTGGGAAAAGATCAACCTACATCTTGAACGATTCCTTGACGAGTTCGATGGGGCCTACGCTAGGGCGGGTTAGGGGCAGAGAGGTTGCTGTACTGGCGGGGGGACCAGCCGGCAAAGGGAACGTCGCATCATCAGCTTGGGGTTAGGTCAAAGCGGAAACGACTACGCCCGCAGCAGCAGTACCGGTCTGTGTGCTTCCTCCCGGTCTAGAGGCGGGAAGCAACTCGCCCCCCCCGACCCCGAAAGTAGCAGCTTTGGCCTGTCCAGCTACTGCCACCGGTATGAAGCAACTTGGGTCCCCCCGAACCCGAGACAAATGATTTTTTGATTGAGGGCCCCAGCTTCGTCAATGGAGCCAGGAGAGGGCTTGTGCCTTGTCAAGTTGGAAAGGTCCACTGTTTTTGGAGGGGGGAGGGTCAGGAACACCTGTGTCCCAAAGTTTGAGTATGGTTTAAGGATGTTTGTCCAATACAATGAAAACCATACAACATACATACACATTAAAATCCTGGATTTTCCAACATCCAGCTGGAAAACCTACCTTTCCTCACCAGGACTCTTTAGGTAGGTTTAGGGTAGGCTCACAGTTGGGTTAGGTGTTAGGTTTAGGGTTATGGATTAGGTTTAGGTTTAGGGGTAGGCTTTAGGATTGGAGATAGGTGTTAGGGAGAGGTCATAGGGTTGGGGATAGGTGCTAGGCACTTTTTTGTACAAAAAAAGTGTCAGAGGTGGGTTTTCCAGGGACTCCAGGGACTATAAGGTGTGTGAGAAGTGTATGGTTTACATTAGTGGGGTTCACAATAGTGCTTTTTGCTTCTTGCACCCATTTTTTTTTTCTTGCTTGCACATTGCTGACATGAATTTTCTCAGCAAAAATTTGAAGTTCCACACTAAATTTTAAGTCTGCAGCGGTGCTGTGGTTTCTTACGTGAGAAGAAATCACTTCTTGTGAGAAGCTATCATGAACCTCCCTATTACATTGGAATAGTGTCCTTCATTATGTAAACCAGAAATCCCTTGGACAAGGGTGGTCAGGGAGAAGGACACTTGACTGCAAAGTTGCCAATGATAGGATAGCTTGTGCTTTGCTTTCTTCTGTGTTTGACACCTGACATTGTGGCCACCATGCAGTGATGTGGACACATGGGAGAACTTTGCCTTTTCTAAATGTGTCAATTTAGTAGGAAGTCCAAAATCACATTTTCTGGTGAAAAACACTCAAGGTTGAGTTTTCACCAGCCAATAAGGTTGAGCCATTAAACATTTAGGACCCCCTTCTAAATCATGCCATTGTTAGGGAAAAGGAAGTCTTCCATTCATGGAGGTTTTTGAGCTTGCCTCTAACTTTGGCCAAAAAATACAAGACACCAACATAAGAAAAAAATATATAAAACAACCAAAAAAGGAATAGTAAAAGCAAAAGTGCAAGACTTCAAAATCAAAGAAATCATTGGAATATGGCAATCTGCAGAGCATTTCAGGATCTGAAATATCAGAAATATGTGCAACAAGCATTGTGCAAAGGAACATGGATTCCTTCTTCTGAAAGTGCATTTAGTTCAACAGCATCAATGATTCAATGATTACTACATACAATGATCTGAAGGTTGAGATAAGAGAAGAAATGTAAGATAGGTGAATCTTGAAGGAAGTAGAACACTTAATTGGATACTTGGGATTAGAATTTCAAACTTCTGAGTAAAGAGTAAAGGATTGTTCCAAACAATCTGATCTTCCATCAATTATAAAAACCCATCACTGCTGATCAATCAAATGATTTCACCCAACAGTCAATTTCAGCCAACTGTTGAGTTCCAAGTTTCCGTTTGAGCTTAGGCATTTGTGGATCAATTGGATTACTCCATGGGAATATATTATATGAATTGTATGTTTTATAAAATTTTGTATTTTTGTCTGCATAGGGCAATCTTCTAAATAATTTTGAGCTGCTGGTGAGAAGATATCTAAAGAAATTGACATCTGATTCAAAAAAACATTTCCACTTTTCTTCATTCTGGTTCTTATAATAATTTCCAAGTGTATTGACCACAATTTGTGCTACAATTAAATCATTGTTTGATATGACTTCATATGAATGCTGGAGTCCAATACTGGGGTTAACCAAGAATTTGTTCTCATTCTTAGATCCAGTGAATATATTTAATGTCAATTCCACAGTGTTTTCCCTGTGGATTTGATGAGTTCCTTGTTTTTCATTCTTAAATTCAAAGAAAGAAGAAATGAAGAAAAATTGGACCAATTTCTGCTCATTGATATACTTCTCTCCACCAGATTGGCATCCAAATGATTCAATAAAAATCCTGTTGAATTCCCAAAGAATATCAAATATCAGATTGAATGTCATCAAAACCTCTTCATTTGATGTTTCATTCATTTTCTCCTGTTGTTCTACAGAAGGTTGCCTCCCAGAAATTTCAATAAGATTAGATCTGATTTGGCTAATGATTGATTCAGAAGTTGGTTGGAATAATTTTTCAAAATCAATTCTTCTGTTCAATCTAACCCGTGATATCCATGCCCAGTTTTTCTCATTTTTATTTTCACAATCAAACAGGTTTTCAATTGTGAATATTTGTGCTTCTTGTAATAGATTTTCTTCTTGAATTATTGGCTTCACATTGATCACAAACTTAATCTTTTCAAGATCAACATGACTGCTAATTGAATCCAAAAGGTTTGATGTGCATGAATTCATCCATGGTAGCACAAAACTAAGATTATCACTTTGTCCTTCACTCTTCAATTCTGTATTCTCTTTCCCCTTTAAGATGTGGTAAAAATTGGCAAGCTGCAGAGTAAACATATCATTTCCACCAAATATATAATCCCATTTCTTCTTGTTTTTTGATTTGTAGTAGTAGCTAAGAGTTGCACTGACAGCCTCACTCATCAGCTTTTGTTGTTTGGATACAACTATAGCATTTTTACTCAATTCTTCACAATGCACTTGATAGGCATCTATGCTTTCAGTTTCATGAATACTTTGTACAATTTTTTGATAAACTTCTCTTTTATCAGTTTCCAGCCAATTTTGATCAATGACCTGCTGATTTGGGAAGAACATCAATTGGTACCGATTGCACTCTAACAGGAAATCCATTAACCATCTCAGCATTTTTTGTGGCTCTTGAGGATAGTAAAATGCTAATTCCCTATTCCCAAAGAAACTCAATATTTGGTTATTCATGGATAATAAGACTTTAGCCATTTTTTGAATTCTTTTTCTACTATGATGATAATCACCATTTGTTGTTCCTCTTTTGATAATTTCATGGGATCTAGAGATTTGGTAAATTTCCCACAAGTTTTTCCTGAATTGATCCAGATCATTTTTTACTTTATGGTCAATGGTTTTTTTCAAATCATTCCATATAATTGGAATTAAAGCCCACAAATTAGCACTTGCTGGTGGATTGAGAGTCCTGATTGGAGGTACTTCACATTTTGCAAGTGGCGCAATTTTGGTGAAATGTACATTGTGACTGCAGGGGTCAATTGACATGTTTTCTGCCTTAAATGCTTTAGATTTATTTGATGGTTTCAATGATGGTCCATATTCCACAGCGTGTTTATCTTCTTCGCTGAGTTTGGGTCTCTTGCATCTGCTGTAGCTGAGAGCACTTAATCTTTCTCCTTGGTCGCTCTTCCTTGGTACATGATTGACAGCCGTAGTAAGTTTCTCAAGTGGCTGGTTTGAGCCTGTAGCAGACCAATCAAGTTAGGTGATGCTACCCATGTGCATAATTCTTTTTATCTTCTTTTCACTTTTCCATGATCGATCCTGAAACTAAAATTTATAAAATTGGACTGGCAGACTTACCAAATGGGTTACATCTTGGGTATCGAGAAATCGATGAATTCGGCGAGCTGTTTGCATCCTGACCTAGCCCGGGGAGGCCCAAGGATAGATTGAGATCGATTTTTCGTTTCTTTGAAACAAGCCGATAAGCCTCGCGATCTGCGACCTTCGAGGCTGGGGCGGGTCTCAAGCAAAACGTTGACTCATTTCCCCCTTCCACGACGAAATTATCTGCAAGAAATAATTAACAAAGATACCAGTCAGAGATTCCCTTTATGATTTTTTCGCCGGGCAGAGCACGAGGCTGACCAAATAACATCAACGTTCTATCCTGGCGATTTCGAACTGCTATGGGTAATGAAGGTTGATTGCTTCCCACATTAGCAGGCAGTGAAGTTTGAACTAGTGGCGAGAGGTGTGCACAAGCGAGGGTTCGCTCAGTAGGACCGGGCGACTGATCTTTCATGAAGATGGATCTGATCCTCTTGATGTTAGAAGTCGTATCTGAAAGCATGTCCGGCTCTCTGGTTGCTGAGAGACAGTGAAAAGTAAACAAGGGAACAACCCCTACTGTCCAAAATCTCTGCATTTTATTCTCGGCGGCTCAGACTCAGAGAGCGATACGACAAAACATTCTCAAGCGTTGAAGACTTCTTCCTGAACGAAGCTGGATGAGAAATGAGCCAAAAAGAGTTTCTCGTTTCACGACACAACTCATAGTCCTTTTATGTATCACATGTAACAGCGAGGTGAACAGGTGAAAGCGACATTGAGTAGGTAACGTGACTTCTTACCGCTTTCATTACCAATAGCTGAAACGGAAACTTGATGCAATATTGTTGTTGCGATGGTTATGAGCAGATGAATATTCTGTCAGATTATTGTATACCTATATTGTATGCTGGTTTCTGGGGGCAAACACACCAGTTACATGGGACCTTTTTACACTAGAACAATTTTTACAAACTTCTTCCCTCATCTCCGACATGCGAATAGTGGGGTTCATGATTGAAATTTTGAAATTTTTCAAGCCAATTTGAAGGCCTTTGTCAACACATTTTAAAAAATTGCATGAGTTGGGCAGATTTCGGGGTGCACAACTTTCTAAAGTTTGAGAAAATTGTTGATAAACACCTTAAAATGAACCTAAAATTTACGAAGATTCAATCATGAACCCCACTAATAGAAAAACCAGCTTGGCAAAATACATAAATTAGACCTTGGTTTTATAGATTCCAACCACAAAAGTGGAATTAGTCTAGCCATAGTTTGGGACTAGTTTCTAAATTGAAACTTGCCACAGGAAACACAAGTTGAATTTGTCTGTGAATAAGTCTGTGCACCCTTGACACCAAGAGGTACACTCTTGGACATCAAGATTGTACTCTCAGCGGCCAAGGTGGTTTCCCTCGGCCGTTGAGAGTGTAACCACAGGACAAATCTGATTTCCCATGGACACCATTCTGGACAGCATCAGAGCTGTCCAGCACTTGCAGGGCAGAGAGTGTCCATTGGACACTACTCTGCCTGACGACTTGTGGACAGTTTCTGGAAAACTGTCCACTGGATAGTTTTCAAGCTGTCCAATGGATGATTTTTATTGCAGTGAAAAGAACAAAAAGTGAGAAGCCTCAGAGTAGAATAGAGATGTCACTCAATACCCGGGTACCTGTAGCGGGTG